TCCGCTCATAAGATCGTCAGATTACGAAAGTTAACTATTGACGATTTAAATGTGCCTTTACACCTTTATTTAATCATATTAAACTAAAGCTCTGGTAACTAAAGATTGTAATATGGTATAACAAAGGGATTTCGTTATATTGCTTGTAGGATCTAATGAAAAATTCATGAATTTTGAAAAGATCATGGAAAAATTGGCGAAAATGCACTTAAAAAATGCATAAATCTACGAACTTCCCAGAAAAGAAAAAAATTAGAAATTATTCATTTGCTCAGAGTCCTTTTAACTTTTAGTTGGTCCCTCGAACTCTCGTAAATCGTACATCGCAACACGACGGCGATAAAGGACACGCGTTCGCCGTGAAATCGACGCCATTAACACGCGGCGAGAGTGAAAAGCGAGAAGCTTTTGTGTGCAAACATTTGCGAATTTTCTGCTCCGAGGACGAAACAGTCCTCGACGAGCAAATGCTGGGGCGATTTCCCAATGGATCACGGTTTGGTAGAGATAAAGGCTGATATAATAGGATCCCGGTCGAAAGGGGTAGAAGTTTTTGGTCGTAGAAAGCGATTGGAACCGAGGCTCGTGACGCGGCAACAGTCGTCGGCGACGAATATTCTCCCCGTCGTTGAACGATCGAAAAACGAATCCTGCGGTAGACTGGTCGGCCGTTTGGCTCCACTGGCTGGTGCTTCTCATGTAAAGCAACTGTTCGTCTACCTCTCTTACCCGGCGGGGCAAACGTCCTCTGCCATTTCTGGAACAAGGTCGTCTTCAAGCAGTCTCGCGGTGACAACGCGTACGCCTTGTGCCTCGACATCAGTTCTTGCATCGGCTCCAAGATCACGCATAACTGGAAGAAAAGAATTCGAGGAATTCTTATTATTTGGTTCCACTTTCGAGCACACTAGCTAGCGATCTTATGGTACTGTGCCTTAATAAATACGACAGAGATTCTGTTCAAGTCTCTACTTCCAGTTCTGTTCGATTCCATGCTTGCAATCAGTTCATATGGAATTTCGACTAAATTCATTGAGCCGATTTTTTTTTAACCAGATAGAAATTTGCTTCGCATTTAATTTAAAAAAAAAA